AAGTCCGCAGACATACCGCTGTGTTACTGGGGGGGGGGGGCTGCATCATGTCAATCATTGTCAAAATCATGGAATAGTAGTCCTTACCTTGCTTATCATGGTTTGTATTCTTCAGTGGTATGAACCAAACTTTTCAAATTATGATGGTCCCAAATTTCGGACGCTTTTATACCCCTTGTTGTTCCGAATTATGAAAGATTTGGACTACAAAGTAGGACGTTCTACAGAAGACCGAGGATGACAATTTGTTAAACATAGTTCCGTAGGGCAGGGCTTGGCTATGGTGACTCTCTAATTTCTCTCTTTTTGTTCAGCTTCAGGGAAGGGCTGGCAAATAGGTAATAAGGTTATATACTGTTCTTTGCAGTGGATTGGGAAATACTTAATTAGCAGTTTGTCTCTAAGAATTTCAAACCAAATACGTGTCTAGATAAAATGTCCAATATACAAACTCAAATTGATAGGTAACTCATGTAAATGGAACTTGATTAACACAATAAAAACAAAAAAAACTATATACATTTATTTATGCCTCTTTTCAAAATTTAGAAATTCTTTCGAAAGTTTCACATAGAGCTCACCAAGAAATGGAATGTTGTTTTTTTTTTTATCAAACCACAACTTTCAGAATGGACAGTAATTTGGAAAGTGTAGTACAGTTTCGGGACACTACTTACATCATAGTTAAAACTTTCGAAACTATCAAACCACAACTTTCAGAATGGACAGTAATTTGGAAAGTATAGTACAGTTTCGGGACACTATTTACATCATAGTTAAAACTTTCGAAACAGCATAAAGTTAGGACAGTATTTATATCACAATTAGAACTCAAAAAATGATCTATCTGTAATAGCACATCGAGACAGAAAAGAGGACCATGCAATAATATAGAATAACCCGAAATAATAGGACATGAACAACACACGACTAAGGGGAAGATAACATAAACCTTCTACATCTATCTGACTGGTAATACAGTCAACCTATCATACAACCTAGATACCTTTTTGAGAGCATTCAAAGAAGTTAACTGTAACAGTCCTAATGAACAAATGGATAACACACCAGCATTTCTAGGAAGAAGACCAGAATTAAACTCCGACTACTACACAAAAGTCGAATATATTTTTTTATGATTTGTTTGTTTGTTGTTAAGCACAAAGCTACACAATGGGCTTAACAAACCCGATTTTTAGCGTTATACGCCCTCAGACTTATCGCTGAGCCAACGAGGGACTCATTTATCCTAGATAAGCCTAGATGTATACATAATACATATGAAGTCATATATTTCTACTTGTCCAGATGCATTCATTATACATAATAATCTATTTATCTTTATTTAGTCTAGACGTTTTGAAAATACATGTGAACTCGTACGGTATTGATTGAACTGGTTCTATTAATGATAAATGTCAGTCCAATTGTTTATATGAGGCTGGATCCTTTTGTGCTTGCAAGTCCACACACGTTAAATAGTTCTGGTTTGTTAATGTTACGTGAGTCAAGCTATTCTTATATGTTTCGCTGTGTCATTATATATATTTAAATCTAGGTATTTTAACTATATATACGTATATATATTCATTATATCTGTGAATCCTTATATTCTAAATGCGTTAGTTTTTGCTGTGTTTTAGACTATTGTTAATTTTCAACTCCTGACAATAGGAAAGGCAGCTAGATAGCAGTATTTACCACTACACGAAATTGCCTAGATTTTTGAGCCGAGTAACAGGATTTAGTACAATGGCACTATGTCTAAAACCATGAATCTTTCAATCCACATTCAAGCATGCTACTACTGTCACATCTCTATTATTTTTAGTACTGTAGTATGCAATTTAATATGCTTTTAGTAAGTCTAAATTCATTCATAATGTATGTGTATTTATTTCTTTTGAATAAGTCTAGATAAATTAATAATATATAAAATAAATTTATTTTTATAACTTTAGATGTACTAAAATATATATATGAATCGTCCTCTGGTGGGTCAGTGATACGTTGAGAGATCTGCAGTGTTAAAATCTATGGTTTAATTCCCGTGATGGACAGAATGTAGATAGCCTATTGTGTTTTTTTGGTTGAGGAATGTACAATAGGTTTCTTCTTTCTGTAGCTTTAATATTCATTGTTCTGAATATGCGCACATCTTCAGATAACACGAGGCCAAGAAAACCCTTAAGTCAATATTTTTTCTAGTTACCAGTGTTTCTTTATCATTCTCAAAGTTTAGTGATACATGATACTGCCCGCGGAAAACATTGATACATGCGACATTGCTTAAGGTTAGGGCAACTTCCTTCCCTTGTTGTGGAAGAAATAGCTAGAGATCATGGTCCCACCAATGCGAAATGAGAATAACGAGTTGCGTGGTAACTCAGTTTTGGTAGGCAAATGCAAAGTTTCATTTTAGATAGAAATTTTTTATTTTATTAGTTCAACTCAAGAGTTCCTAGATTACAGTAGATGATTTGAAGCAGGGCCGGCTCGACTATGGTGCACTACGTGCATTTGCACAGGGCGACAAAATTCCTATAATGGTGGAAGAGCGGGGATGAGCAGCACAGTCAACGTTTGCACAGCGCGGCAAAACATCTAAACGAAAGTGCCTGTCTAACATAACTAAGTACACATTGAAAAGTTGTTTATGGACTTAGGCCTCAAATACAAGTTAGAGTAGCCTGAAGCAAACGTGAAGTAAGAAATAAAATAATTAGTTATTTTTTTATGGACTGGATTTCGCATTATTTTTATCAGGTAATCCAAGAGAACCCCCCAACGAAAAAACAAGTTACAACAATATATGGGCTACCAATGAACTTTTTGCAGGTACTTTGAAAATAGTTTACTAGAACAACTAAGGCAATGCAACGATAAGTTCTATATCATTAACTTGATGGGTAAGAATCTTATGTTGTGAAATCAAGACACAAGGTAGTGCAGGTCTCAACAAATATTTTCATATCTAGGAACCAGTCCAAAACCTCAGAAGCCAGGTGTGCCTAACCTAACTTCACTACTGTTTGTACCGGGAAATGTATATCTATTTACTTTCGCGGCAACTAGTGCATGCTAACGATCGCATGATATCGATAACCGCTTGATAGTATTGCCTGAACTAACTGCCTTTGGTCCCATATGAGTCTAAACAAGAGCACTGATTGTTTGAACTGGGAGAAAGAAGAAAAACAAAATGGCGTGAAATTAGTAACGTGTCGTGCAACCACAGCGCTTCATTCCTGAAAAACCTGAAGAAGTGTTGAATCTACTGAAGAAGTTCGATTTAGGACTCAAATAATGAGAAAATAGTTCCGGACTTCCAACAGTCCAGAACTGTTCTAGATTTGAGTAATATTTAACACAGCCCTACGCACGAATAAAATCGAAGAAAATACTAGACCCACGTTGAAATTT